CTGCCCCGGGACTCGCAGCCCACGCTCTGCCCCGGGACTCGCAGCCCACGAGCTGCTCGCGGTGTTCAGGGGCTCACGGGGCACGCTTGTGTGGATCCCGGAGCGCGTGGGCCCCGCTGGACTCATCCCAGCGCCGGCTCCAATTCAACCCGCTCGCTCCAACCGGGCCCATTTGTTCCAGTACGGCCCGCTCACTCCGCAACTCCACTCTCCAGGGGGCAGAAAGGGAAAACCACAACAAGAACAGAAAGAAAGTGGGAAAATTGATAAAGGGGCTGGTGAGCAGAGTAGCTCTGACCAGACTGTCCTACTCTGCCGCAGTTACTTCTCTGTTATTGCTGCACTGAGATATTAGTAACCCAAAATGATCATATATAGTATTTACCATGAACATTATTGATCCTAAGAACTATGTGTCCTGTCGCGTATCCCGTTATTAAACACGAAAGTACTATCATATGGTAGTTACCGCAGATCCTGTAGTTTACATTCTGGGTTCGTCAGAAATGCAGAAAAAGTTTTTACTCCTGAATCCCGCAGTTTGTTGTAACTCAGGTTCAGGACCTTCAGAGACGTGTTTACGTTGAGAGCAGAAGAAAGGTCCGAGGCACAAGAATCTGTGAGATCAGCCACAGTCAACCTGGATAGCAGAAAGAGATAAGAGAGTGAGAGAGAGAGAGAGAACAGGAATCAGTGAAGGGGCAGTATTTACTTCCGGTGATAATTGTATCAATAACGAGCAGCGACAAATGTCTGATTGTTGTGTTTGCAACACAACCTCAAAGATTCTTACTCACTGCAGATCTTGTATTTTACACTCTGGGTGCCTCAGGGCAACAGACAAATGTTTGACTCCAACATCTCCCACTTTGTTAATACTCATGTTCAGCTGTGTCAGTGATCGGTTCAGACAAAGAGCAGAGGCAAGATCCACGGCACAAGATTCAGTGAGAGCAACAGATTTCAACCTGGTGATCGGCGAATTGGAAAAAGTAGGAGAAATAGGGGGGAGTCATTAGCAGTGATAAAAATACAGTGTCTGTTAGAGAAGTGCTGATATTTTAATATACAGTCCTTAATTATGCCAATAACAATTTTTCACAATATATTCGATGGTGGGTGGCTGGTTATTCCGAACAGAATTTCACATGACCTGGGCACTTACTCCAGTTTCTGTATTTTACAGTCGCAATTCTTCAAAGCTGAAGCCAGTAATTTCACTCCTGAATCTCCTAGTTCATTATTGCTTAACCTAAACACAGGAAGACAAAGCGAGGAAGAAAGTTCATTTCAGTTAACACATACATTCACTGCCGCAGATATAGGAAAATAAAGAAAACATTCACTCTTCAACTTTTTGGTCATATCATTGTATTTAATGAAGTATTGATCGAGGAAAGCTCTGAATGTTATTTCATTTAGTTTTATGTCATGCTGAAGAGAATTTAGTGTTAACTTTAGTGTTATGTTGTGCTGAAGAGAATTTAGTTTTAGTTTTAGTTTTATGTCCTGCTGAAGAGAGTTACCCTTTTGTAATCCCAGTGACAAGATTTATTACGGTTATGGACATTTCCATAATTCCTGTCGCGAATTAGCAGCCTCCAAAACAAATGACAAAACAGTGCTTTCTTTCACTTAGAATGCTGTGCATTTTATCAAACCATAAAGTAATTCAGGAAGTTATATTGTGGACTCCTGTTGGGAGCAAAATACACAGCACAAGACAGTGAAACGAGAGTTTGTTTAGTCAGGTTTCATTTCTTAATAGTGCCTGCACTGTCAGTTTATAGTGAGTGAGCATCTCTCACTGGATTTCCTGCTGAAGTACTTCGACATTGAATAAGATACCCCTTGTTTTGATTGGAATCTTTATGAGTTCCCTTTCTCTGACCTTGCCCTTGGTGTCTCCTTGCACCTAAGAGGTTGGCTACAGCCATCTGAAAGCTAATTCCTATGGTTAATCCAGTGGCAGGACAGAGCTGAAGTCTCCCACAACTCGCTCACACAACTGAACTTAAAGATCGAAAGGAAAGCTTCTGTTTTGGCCCTTTGTTTACGACGAACTTCCAGCAGCCGCCAATCTGTCTCGGCATTAATGTACCCTGTACCCTCGCTTAAAAAGCTGGAAACCTGACACAAACACCTGGAAGGGTTGGAGAAACTCAACAGATCTGGCAGCATCTGTGGAGAGAGAGAGAAAAACAGAGTTAGAGCTTTGAGTCTGGTATTACTCCTCTTTGCTTCGGAAGAAGAGTTATTCTGGACTCATGCCAATTCTGTTTTTCTCTCTCTCTCCATGGCTGCCTCCAGGTCTGCTGAGTTTCTCCAACGCTCCCAGGTGTTAGTTTCAGGTTTCATTCTCCAATACTGGCTGTACATCTGTTCACCGTGCATCTATTAAAATAGTTACGGCTGGGCCGTAAAGTAATCTGGGAGATGCTGATCTTGTTTGCAATAGAGTGAGGATCTTTAATGAAATCCCGAGGATAGGCCTGGCTTATATTTTTGAAATTGTAAAATCATCTCCTTAAATGAATTCCTCTTCCATCCTTACTTTTCACCAGTGAAAGGAGCACAAGGGATTACGTTGTCAGTAAAACAGACTTTCTCACCCTTCACCTAATCCACCACTCAAAGTTCCTTCAACTCATCCCATGGACCAGTGAAGAAGATGCACTTTATTCTATTTATTTTCCCATCCGTACACATGCTCCCGCTGGGCTCGTATTTTCCATAAACTCCACGTTGCCTTCTCTCGATCCTATCTCCCTTGTCGAGCTGACCAATCTCCCTCCCTTGCTCCCATGTTACCTGTTCCTGATAACGGTTCTTTCTACTCAGGTATGGAGTCCTGTCTATCAACGGTGCTTCAAATACATCCTTCCTTCCTTAATAAGGCACCGTTGATAGACTCTTATCCCTGATTCCATTGCCCTGACTCCATTTCTGACCCAAAACCCTGATGTCACCTCCCAAAACAGTGCCCATGTTTTCAGGAAATCCATTTTTTATTGCCTTTAATCATCCAACAAACAGGACTCTTGTCAGAAATAGAAATGACATTCCCTATGGCTGTGACATACTACTTGCCCTTTCCAAACTGCTTGTCTGCAGCAATAAACACAGTTGCACTCCATTGGTGCATCTCCAACACCTCTGTTCTTGGGAGCCTATAACCCGATGGTCTCAATGTGGACTTTACCAGTTTCAAAATCTCCCCACCCCCTGCCTCATCCCATGACCAACCCTCCCTCTCATCCCCACCTCCTTGACCTGTCCGTCTTCTCTCCCACCTAT